CATAATGACTCTCTGATTCATTGTTAGTCAATCCAGCGCGTTTTCCCACAATCTCCGCAATTTCCCTGTGCCAATTTCACCTTCATTTGCCACCTCATTGAAGCCGCGGGCCATTGTCAGAGAGAGAGATGCAGGAAAAGTCTCTCTGCCCACATGATCGCCGGGAGATTGTCATACAAGATTGTCTGCATGGCATTCTCGCCACTTCACTCCACCTGGGATGGCAATTAACATACCAATTTGGCAATTAAAATTCAATGCAAAAAGTATATGTGTTCTCATGGTAATCTTTCGCTACACTTCAGAACGGCTCTATTGACTCGTGAAGGCGCTGAAAGAATCCAATCTAATGGACAAACATTAAGTGAACCTTCAGAAATTGATGGGTGTTTCTTTGATCGGATTTTCAGCAAGGATAGCAGCGTGAAAAGACCTGTGAGAAAAAGTGGCGTGGATGGTATTTATTATGTATGCAGAGAAGACATCAATTAAATGATGATAAAATTTTTACTATTGGTTAATTGACTGCGCTTCAACTCTTTTTCATCGCATTTGCGAATTTGCATATTGAGAAAGCCAGTCGAAATTCCGCTTTGAGGTGTAGATCTTAGAGAGGTTTTTTTTGCTATTTATGGGATTTCTGCAGTATAAAACAAAGACGAACGACTGGTTGACAGAAATGCAAATTTCATGCTAAATTTCTCCCAGGAAGACTCATATTTCCCATCTTATGTGATTTTAAGTGATTGAACCTTTGTTTTAGAGGTTCTATAATAGCTTTGGACATAATGTAGTTAATTTATTTAATGGTCTGCATGATTGAACGGAAGTGCAAACATTACAATTTTAATAGCGGAAATATTTCGGAAGTTTACTGAACTTTGAGAGATTTATTGATCCAAGGAGATGAATAAATGTTTTTTGTGCGTCTTCAAAAATAACATCCCAAGGATGATTCAGAAATAAGCCATGAATGAAAATACTTCGTAAAGTCTCCTACTTAATGACTCAATTAAAAGAGAGAAGGGGAAATTTCCTGGAGACACTGAGAGGCAAAATTGGCATTTTTATCCAGTTTTAAATTGGAATAATCACTGGATCTCCCTTGTAATGTAAATTGTATGGAAAATTCCCCTGAAATTTTCATTTATTGACACACCTTTCGTGAACACTTTGCCGCCCGACACTTTGCGCTATTCATATTTTGCGCGGATGTAATTAATCTTATCGTGCAAAGTATGACATTGTTCCTACGCCACTTGTGTGTCTATTATTGAGTGATCCAACGGCACGTCAGGTATTTTTCCCTCGGCTCAAGATACTGTGGGAAAATCTCCCATGAGACTCGGCAGTGCAATTTCTGGGGTCTGGTAAATGCTAGAAAACGCACTCCATTTGGCAAACACTTAACAAACACGGAAGTCTCTCGCGAATCAAAGTGATCTGTTCATCTACAACGGAGTTTTTCTGGGTGCAACAAAACTCTCTCGCGCGTCGATTGTATAAAATGAATTGAAAATCCCACAGTCGTTATATTGGCAATTCGTGAGGCATTCTCAGAGCCTGACGAGCTGGAACTGCAATTGAATAAAAGCTGCACTTCCCTCTGCTTTGGACTCTCCTCAAATGGTCATCTTACATAACGCACGCCTCTATATGCCCAATTTGATTTAAGGTGGGTCTTCTGACCGCTTCGGCTCTCGCGCCGGTGAGACTGATGGGAATTGGAGTCTTTTGTTAAGGCCGGAGACACGCTCCGATAGTGAGCGATATTTTGATCGGAAATTCACAGCCAAAATAGCTCAAAACGCTAAAATATTCCATGTTGCGACGCTTTATTTATTTTTTTCAATCGCATGAAATATTTCCGACGTTTATTTATATTTGCGTTTCCTCGGCAGGTCGAGAGAGAGAAAAAAACACAACACAAAACCATTGACTCACAAAGTCACTCACAAGAGTGTTTACTTATCATGAAAAGTGGTTTAATGGGACACAACACAATAATAAAATATATACGGTCAATATGCGATTCTGGGGGTGTTTAATTAGTCTTTCGCAGATCTTGCAAGTTTTTGCTTTGCTCCATTGATGTGATTTAATATCGCAACGTCAATAAAATGAACCTCTCAATGTGTGAATCTAAATCAATTAAATTGCTCTTTCCGCAATAAAACACAAGTAATTTCATGGCTTAAGCGCCCCTCAACGCCAACACTCGGCAAATATCCAATTCTCGCCACGGAAGAATTCTGTCAACAAGTTGAGCAATGCACAAGAAACTTCTATTATTGGCGCTTTTCTGGGTCAACAATGAAGAGACGCGTCTCAGTGTCAATTTGTGACGAAGTCCGCCGTGGAGGATCACTTGAGTAAATTAATTAAAGCGTCCAGTCATGCTCGCACCTCGCATTGCCAATCTGAGGTGTGTCCATTAAATTTTTATTTGCCAAGAAACACCATTTGATATGTTTAATGGTAGAAATTTTGCAATGCGCTGTGCCTGTTTCGCGACACAAATATTTTACAGAGTGAGATTCCTCGTGGAATTCGATCGATAAGGTGTGTGTGTGTTGAGAGACACACTTAAGTAAATCCTCGATGAAATGAGATCAAATATTTCGCAAGGAAGTGCGCACAAAACCCAAAAATTTCCCATCAACACCGCCATCGATACAGTTTGCATGTGGAGTTAATTTCAGCCAGAGTTCACGCCTGGTAATGTGGAAAATTTAGTGAATCTGACCGATAATAATTTTTCTTCGTTCTTATATAATGAAAAACATGCTTGAAAATATAACACCTCTATTCTCCCCATATGTGAAAAATTTGATTTATTCCATGCACCGACAAAAAGAATTGTGCACGCAAAAAATTGAATAACATTTGTATCAACCGCCAGTATCGAGTCAATTAGAATTGAATCACAGACCATTTTAGATAGTGATATAAATGAAACTGATTCATTCATTAGCATTCCCGGACTATTGTTATATCCAGTACAGAGAATATATTCTCCGGTGCGCGAAGTACAAATGGGTTTTATTGACAAATGATGATGGCTATTAATTAAACGTAATATATTGCACGATGTTGTAAAGCGCGATTGAGGCTCTTGTGCTGTGCAAAAGGCGACAAACATGTGGAATAATTAGTGATGGGAATTGTTGGTAAACAAATTACCGAGAACAGAGATTATTATATTGAAATGACGCCAAGATAGTATAATTAAATAAGGAAAAAAACAATAATCAGTGCTAGACTTTGGAAGAATAAAAGAATGACGGACAGTATAGAAATCCAAAATCACGCAGTTAAGAGAACTTTAGCCTAGAAATCAGGGCTGAAGTTATAAAATAAAGTTGGCTTCTTTTGAAGCCCTTGAGTAATTAGGCTCCTCCCACTTGAAAGCTCCGCCCATTGTTCACCACATTGCAGAGAACTCTCCAAACATCCATCTGAATGGCAAAATATCGCGAAAATGTTGTTATATTTCAACAAATGGCACACAAGACTGCGAAACGTGCCGATATTCGCGGAGAAAAGTGCTCTAAATATCCGAGGATTTTTCAACATCCACGCAACATCTTTGCATTGAATTAACGACTATTGCCATTTGGTCTTCACTGGGGCAATTGAAATGCTCCACTATCACCGGCCGTGTTACATAAAATCGTGAAGTCTTGGGCACTCTCTGGTGGAGTGAAATAAAAATAAAGCCATGTACGCGACTGTGAATATTATCTTGGCCATTACGAAATTCTGAAATGGAAGTGTGTAGCAGAAAAAAAGACCGGCATGGATTTACACCATCGCCATTAGAAAATAATGGAAATTATCATCAATTTATATTGCACTTTTGTATACACACTGAAAGAGTATCCGCTGCAGAACACAATGGATATTGAGTCATTGTGTAAATTGTTAATTATTGGAGGAGGAAATTGTGTTTTGTTGATTCTTTTTTCGCTTCGATTCAGGCTCAATCGACAAATAGCATGGGAGGTGAGTTGGGAAAATGCTCTTCAAGCCTTAACAAATGCCTTTTGCCTGTGAAGTCTCTGATACAATTGCGGGGCTGAGCAAATGGAGCGTCATTGCATTTCGCGCTGTTGCGAACATGTTCAACAGAAATTCTCTTTATCACGCGGTGTTTCCGCTCTGTCGATGTCAATTTTGTATAGGAAGATGCTGAGATTGTGACCCTGTCCTTCCCCAAAATCTGTTGTTTTTAAATACCTCGGAAGCGCCACTCCCTCGAAGGAAAAAAACAACGGGGAAATGCTCAATAGTGCGCGCGCGGATAAAAACGAAAGTGATGAGGTAAAGCTGTGACATTGACAACATGAAAGGCGCAAACGAATTAATTTTCGTCAATTTATTTTCTTCACACACCGACCAGTGCAATTCCCATTGCAACAGCCAGCCTAAACAATCAGACATTTTTAATGTGGCCAATGTGAGAACTTTTATTGTTTTGAGCCATTTGCCCACCACCCGCCGAAATGATGTAAACTGATTTGGGTCACTACACACATTATTTTTGTTTACTGCATTTTCTTACTCTTGAGCTGCTAATTCCTCGGCGGAGAGGCTGAGGAGGCACATAAAAAACCCGCAACAGATACGCCAAACACCGCACTGGTCATCCACCTTTCGCGCGCTGGTACGCTTGATACTTTAAGCCTTATTTGCGCGCCTCATGATCTGTTTTGACGTTGGTAATGTGGCTCGAGTTAACCCAATTTTATTGAAGTGTAGAAGCACGAGTGATCGATAAAATCTCCTCACTGTTGCTCCGCTACCAGAGAGTTGAGCATCCAATTTGTGATCTCTAATGAACACTGTAGAGCTAATGCCGTACTTCAGTCCCACCCACGAGTCACGTTTCCCCTGTTCAAATGGGCTCATTTTGAAAGTGATCTCCCTTCAATGTTTCCTATCAATTATGAAGCTTGATGAGTTCATCTTTTTTCAACGTGATCTCTCTTCTCTCTCAGCAGCAGCACAACCGCGGCGGATCAGCGTGGATCGTGACAACAAGCTCATGTCGGTGCTGGCGGCTCGGCGGAGTGCTCTAGCGCGCGACAGGGGGCGCCACGTGACTTCCCGCCAAGTCTCCACACTCTCCAACGAGCCGGTGCGCGAGTGCGAGCGCAACTGCACCAGAAGCTTCACCGTTCAGCCCTCGCCGGAGTGCATGAGGCGGTGTGCGTCCCTCAGAGGGGCGGCCGTGCGGCGGCCGGCGTCCTCGCGGGAGGAGGAGAACATCTCGGAGTCCAACACGATCGTCAATGGCCGAGATGAGTTGCTGCAGACGGAAGAGTCTGCCCATGGCATGACAATCATCCACACCAGTCGCGAGCTGGAGTCCTTCAGAAATGTGTCCAAGAGTGGCAGCAACAATTCCCTGGACATCGAGCTGAAGGCGGCGGCAAACTCGTCGAAGAAGGATGTTGCGACGCCGACGAAACCCACGCGATCCTATGTGGACATCAGGAGCAAAAGACTCGAGGCCGCGAAGCAGCGGCAGAAGACTTCAACGGACAAGTCCGTTGAGGAGGGCGATTTGATTCCTTACTTCTTCTTCGGCCAGAAAATCACGGCCACGAAGATCACGGAGACCAAGAACCAAGTGATCACCACCAAGAGGTCACCCTACTTCGCCAGTGGAAGCACCAAGCAATCCCTGAAGGCCAAAGACGACGAGGATGAGATCATGGAAGTGTCAGCGCCAAAGACATCCACAACGGAGAAGAGCAAGTTCTGGCAACACAGTAGGCTCTACTATCCCACGAGGAATATCGTGGCGTTCAACAGACGAGGCCTCAACATGTCAGGCTTCGGCAGTCCCAAGCCCAACACCTCAACCGACGCCAGCACTTCCAGGGACCTGGTAGATGCGCCACTGGACGTAATTCACATTCCTGAGAACAACAGCAGTGCTAAATTGGTGACTCTGAGGAGCACAGATGCGGCTCCCACGCCCTATGACATAGAAAAGGCTCATCCGAACCTCCACGGGATCATCCTCGAGGTTCCCCCGTCGTCCCTGCCAGCTCTGGACATTCACTCGCTGAATCCTCCGTCGTCAGCCTTCAGCGATAAGGACATCAATCTTGTGATATTCACGAAGCAGAAGCCGCCCGATAGCAATCCTTCCCCGTCTGAGGTCGCTCCAGTGATAAATGGGAGTGAAATCCTGACGATTAATCATGATCTGGCTCCTGAGCCAACAACGGAAGCTGCTGAGATTCCCAAAACCAGCGCAGAAGAAGAAACGCCTTCGACTTCTCAAATTGTCACAACAACTACCGTCTCAACAACCCCATCGACGACATCGTCAACTTCCACAACCACGCCAGTATCAACCACAACTACTCCCAATCCTCCTTCCTTGACGCCTCCGGAGAGCGCAGAGGAGGACACTAACACCAGGGCTTACTCCATTGTGCCTGGAATCAAGGCGATCTTCCCCAACATTTCCACCGCGGCTTCCTTGCCACCGGACAATGAGGAGTCCATCAGGCTGCCGATCGCTTCAAGCACCAGTAAAAGTGTCAGTAAAACAACATTCTCGACTTCCGTGAGATCAACGAGTGTTCCTACAACATCCAGCTCGACGCCCAGCACCACTGAAGAAGACGTGTCAACTCCTCTGGCCAGCTCACAGGCTTCTGAAGATTCAACCACGCCAAAGACCATCAACATTTCCGATCCCATTCTTCCAGCCTCCTTCAACATCTCCTCCATCTTTCCCACCTTCCCGCCGATGAGTGTGCCCAAGGGGAATGTCTCAGCCACGAAGAAGTCTCCAACGAGCCTGGATGGCGTTCTGCTGCGACGCAACGGCGACGTCACTATAGAGATGCACAGGATGAACATGGCAGCGTACGTTTTGGCGGGATTGGGAATGTTCCCCATCGCCATCATCATTGTCTATGTGGTGCGGACGGTGATCTTTAAGCGAGAAGCCAAGCAGTCCAGTGATCTTGAGAGGTACATGAATGACGGCCAGCCCATCAGTCCTGTGGTGAAGATGGAAGATTCCTCCGGGGAGGAGTCCATCATGACAGAGCGGGACTTCAATCGCAACAACCTGAGATTCAAGAGTCTGCTAGGCGAGGGCAACTTCGGCCAGGTGTGGAAGGCGGAGGCGGACGATCTGGCTGGCCATCTGGGCACCACCAGAATCGTCGCGGTGAAGACTGAGAGGACGGAGAATGGCTGCGGTGGCCTCAAGATGGAAGCCGACATAATGCGGAAGCTGGGTAGTCATCCGAATGTAGTCACTCTTCTCGGTGCTTGTATAGATCAAGGTAAGAACATTGCGGCAATTTCGCAGAGGACAATTTGTGTAATGATTGTTTGTGTTGCAGAACCTCATCTTCTCATCATGGAATTCGCCATGAGAGGACGATTGCTCTCTCTTTTGCGTGCTGCCAGGAGTGCTGTGCATTCTGTTCCCCAGTCAACGCCCAGCACAACTAAGACTGCCGCCATCCCACTGTCGCCCAGAAGGCTGTCCGGATTCGCTCATGACATCGCCAGAGGAATGGAATACATCGCCAGCAAGAGGGTAAGAAAACTGTTTATTCTCTGCGGTAGAAGTGTTCTAATTCTTCACCCTCAATTGCAGATTGTCCATCGCGATTTGGCGGCTCGCAATGTGCTTCTGGATCACAATGGAGTGTGCAAAATTTGCGACTTTGGCATGTCTCTGGACGTGGAGAAATCCAAGCGGATTCACACTCTGTATTCCCGGAAGTCACACCTCAGGAGATCGCACAGTCGTTGTGGAGAGTCGCGATTCAGATTCCAGCCCTTCTCAACTCTGGACACGAAGTTCGGCGTGTGTCGCAGTGAGAGTCAGACCTGCGGAACGAAGGTCAGACCCGCCTTGCCCATCAGATGGATGGCTCCGGAGGCGCTGCAGTATCACATCTTCTCCGCGGAGACCGACGTGTGGGCCTTTGGGATCGTCCTGTGGGAAATTGCGACGCTCGGTTAGAGCTCTAGCTTAGAGGATGCTGGTTGAATTTGTGCTAAAAGTTGTTTATTTGTTCCAGGATGCACTCCCTATCCTAATCTGTCCGGTCGCGAGGTGGTGCGGAGTGTTCCTGCGGGCATCAGGCCGGAAATCCCACCAGACTGTCGCCCTGAGCTGTATCACTTGATGACCAAGACTTGGCGCAAGGATCCCAGGCAGAGGCCGTCCTTCACCGAGGCCAGGAGCGATCTGGCGCACGCCCTGCGCCAGTGGGAGATCGAGCAGGAGAACTCCTCGGAGTACCTCGACGTGAGTGGCTTCAGCGAGGATCTCGAGCACGGAATGGTGTACTTCAATAGGCGAATATCAGAGTTTGAGTGCGATATTTGACTAGAGTCGCCCTAATGGCAAATCTGGTGCTGCGCCAGTCTCAAAGTATTAGAAAAAGATTGCACGTGACTTTCTTAGACTTTGTTTTTGTGACAATAACACTCCTTGTAAATAGTAATGACACAAATTTTGCTAGCAGTTCAGAATTCTTCCTGGACTCTAATTATCTAAGTAAAATTATTATATATATTTTCGAGTATAAATGGCGCTCAAGATGGCAAGAAAATCTCTTCGTTTTTTTTTTTCTTTTAGAAATATCTAGTCTGCTGAGGTGAAAAATATGGAAAGCAATTTTAGAGTGAATTGATAAATGATTTCCCTGAAAATCTTTACAATGGAAGTATAATTTAATGAATTTTAATACCTTCATTATTTATTAAGTGAATGAATTTTACTTTATCTGAAATTGTTGACGTTAATCGAATAAAAAGATCTGTGAAAACAACTCTGGATGTATGTGTTTGGAGCCGAGAAATTTGTGGCACAGTTTTGCGGGCAATTGAGAAATGCCTCTTTTTTTATGGAGAAAGTTCAATAAGTTTTGCATAATTATCGTAATGAATATATTTGTCGATACAAGCAGAGGGAAAGGGGTATTAAATTGCGGTGGGAAGTGACAAAGACAGAGGCGTTGAAGAGATGTTTTACGACAGAAAATCTCGTGTGTCTCAGCATTTGGGATGAAGAGCCTCTGTGTTTTGAAAATTCAATTACAAAGCATGGCGCCTTCTTAACTGCTTGCGCCCGAAATTCATTGAAATTCGAGTGGGCGAGACGCAGTTTTGTCGGCCATCGCGAGGTGATGAGACTCGAAGAGTCGGAAGAAGTTATTGGAGCAATTAGAGAATTGCAGATAAAACGCGCAGTGAAATTGCTAATGAAACTTGAAGAAATTATTAATCCGGAATTAGCCCAGAATCATGAGAAAACCACATGTTTTTTCCTCCCATTGGCCTCTGTGTCCATTTCTGTGTGTGAAATTGATCGGCGCAGAATGTTGATTGGTGCAAATACTCTCATTTGTGCAATATCGCGTTGATTGAAACTTTCTTGAAGGCAAGCAAAACGAGTCCATTTGTCAAAACTTGTCTCCGGTGGTGAGGAAAGAAAAAAAAAACGATTCAGCAAGTGCATTAAACCGATATGCAAACTTTCATTTGCCCAGCAAGTTTGTGCTGCAAGTTTGCATCTTGGGACATCTCTACATTCCACAGGCTCTTTTTTCTCCGCACAGCTTCAAACCACCTTCTCAAGGTGCGTAGTCTTAAGGTAGGAAGTGACCTTTGAGCGCATCAGCATGGAGAGGAAGTGATTTTCTTCGATTTATCGGATTTATCTAACAAACATCTGATATTTTCAAAAACTCAACAATCAATCAATGTTTGAAGGTTCTTTTTGAATTTCAATGACTCACTTTTGATAAGTAATTGAAATTGCCATAATCACGTCTTTGCCTCTCCATCTTTCTTCACTTCATGGAAGCGGGTTTTCTCGCGCTCGCACACAACTCCAAGACAAGATATCGAAGCCATTGCTGCACACTCAATACCATCTCGATCGCTGTGTGAGGAGCTTATGGTGTTGATTTCTCGTGTAATTTTTCTTTGAAGAAAGTGTATGTGGATTGGGAGGTTTTTTTTCTGTATAGCCAGTGTAATAAATCGTCAACGAGTAACACATACAAGAGCCCAGAAAGTCCGTCTCTAGGTCACGGGCGCTTGCCGCGTCTTCAATTCCTCAGCAACAGATCAGTTTCAGTCTGAACTCTCGGCGATCAGTGTGTTGCAAAAGGTCTAAGAACTCCCATCGCTCGGCCATCTCAGAATCAGTGAAAGGGCCAGGCAATTGGCGTGCAATGAGGAGGAAGTTGAAAAACAGGCAAGATTAGTGGAAAAGCAGAGAGTGTGCGCCACTGAAATGGCATTTGACCTCTTGAATTACTGAGGAGTACCAGTTTTTTTTTTGTCTTTCTTTCGTGGACACTTTTCGGTGCTTTCATCAGTGATTATGTCATTGACATCAATTTCATTCTGCCATTAAGAGAGCCAATGGGTGAAAAGTCCACAATCATTGCTCAATTTGCTTGCTAAGTGTTTTTAAACTCTTGTGCAGTGAAATCCCGAGACATCATTTTCTCGTGATTTTCCTTGTGGACAACATCACCAGTGTGGCAGTGCCAGAGTGAAAAGAGACTTAACTGGACTGGCAATTAATCGAATAAGGCAGTTTATATGTAGAATGCCCGATCAACACGCTTAATTGCACCGCAACAGTAAGTTTGTTGTGATTTTTTTCGGTGTTTCGCGCGCCTTCACAGATTCGTGATATTGATATTTTGAGTTTATTCAACCTTAAACTGTGAGGAAAGTAATTTTTCACGCATGTGTCGCATTTCATCTGTGAATGATGGTGACAGTCACGGAAGCATCTCAATTGGCGTCTTTTACAGTTTTGTCTTGCAAGAGATTTACCGTATTTCTTCTGTGAATTTTTTCTTCATTAAAATTCCACGGCTGCCTTCCGAAAGAGGCTGCAGAAGAGATATTTTGGGAACACGTAATTTGCTGAAAATGCTAAATTTGAGAAGAACACTTGGGCGATTTTATCGCTGAGAAAGTGTTAGAAGTAAAACCAGAGAGGAAAATTTGTAATAATACACTTGAATGTTTAGTGTCAAGTTTAATGAGGTCAGTCAAGAGGACCTCAGAAGCAGAGAGTCATTAATCTTAGCCAGTACTTAAGAAATACGTGTAGATTTTAAAGGAAAATAACCAATTAGCCAAAGTCTCTCACTCTCTCAACGCATTTGCAGGTTCCACGTGCGAAAGGTGTGCCGAAATAGGCCTCAACAAAATGTGTACTGTAACGAAAGCTCTCGTGATCTTTTCACTATTGACACTACTGAAAGTGACTGTGAATGGTGAGGAGACAGATGACTTAGTGGACTTTGAATTTGAGACGCAAACACCCACCAATGACTACGAGTATGCCGACGAAGTGGTTGCCAGCAATCACAGAAACACGCTGATGGACGATCTGGGCGATGTGGAAACGGAGTCAGATGGGCAAGAAGTTGTGAATTTTCACACGAAAGAGCAGAAAGTGAGAGCAGCACTGTTGAAAGCGTGGGCAAATCTGAAATTGCGGCAAAAGTTTGCCGAAATTCTGCCTATTCTTCGCATGCTGTCCAGCCAACAGAGAACGGCTTTGGCTGCTCTCGTTTCGGCCCAAGTCAATGCCAAGCCAGGCAGGGAATTGAATCTCAGCCAGGTGAATCCATGTTTCATTGTGTTTTTCGCGCTCACTAAATCAATTTTCTCTCTCCTTTTCTCTGCAAAGGTGAAAAGCATGTTCGGTGACCGGAAAGATCTGATACTGCCTCTGGTTCTCGATATTGCAAATCTTGTGCGATTCGCCACCACAACACCTCATTACACCACGTACGACACTTTCTTCGAGAATGAACCCATTCCTCAGGCGCAACTGCTTCGTCGAAGCTTCAACACCCAATCAACGGTGGAAAGTGATGAGAGAAATGAGGCCGCCGCGGCAGGTCTCGATACCGCAAATCCAATGAGCAACATTAGAGATGATCGATTGTCTGTTGAAGAAGATGATGGGGTAATTGTGACAACGAATGAGGGTCAGAGGAGTCCCAGGCAGAGCGAATCTCGAGCATTTCTCGTGACCAGAGAACCTCCGCACTACGATAAACTCGTGCAAATGATGCCGCAATTCGAGCAGAAGCTCGAGCAGGACAGTCAAAAGTCACCCACAGAAGCGACAGATCAATTGGTTGGGGAATCGAGGCCTCTGCCCATCACTCTCACCAGAGCAAGTCCCATTGAGAGGAACTTGACTCTGGAGGAAATTGAGGATTTGGCATTTGAGTCGCTAAATGGAACGGATTCCACAGATTCACCAGCAGCAGAGTCGGATTCGGAGAACTTACCCACTCCGGAAATGCTGATTGGCAGGAAGAGGCACAGGAAGAAGCCTCCGCCATCTTTCCTCTACAGACAACCGTCTCATCTCAGTTCGCACACTTGTGAGAGATTCACTGGGAATATCTGTCTAAGGGTGGATGACTATCCGATGTAAGTATTTGACAGAGTTAAGAAGTTAAGAAAGAACCACTTCTTATAAGTATTGTACAACAGGGACCAAATCATGGGAAGCATCAGGAGACATTCTTACGCAATGAATGCTTTGCTGGCAGAATACAGTGACAAGGCTGAGGAACAAGATGCTGACTTTTCCGATGATTTACTATACGAAAGCAAAAGGTAGACTTCTTCGCATAGTTTGATAAAAACCTACAAAGGAATTTACTTATTGGTTTCTTGTTATCCAGACGCGAGGACGTGAACGCTGGACAGCCTGGAGCCATGTGCAACAGCGTCATCCGGTATGCTCGGCCCCAGAAAGCAAGATCTGCCACTGGCGAGTGGAAGTACATTGTGAACACCGGGAAGCACACGCAAACCCTGCGTCTTGAGAAATGCAGCAATCCCCAGGAGAGTTGCACATATCTCACTGAGAACTTCAAATCGAGATGTGTTCAGGTGTATAACTACCATCGACTGCTGAGTTGGGACAACACCAGAGGTCTTCACGTGGACATCTTCAAGGTTCCGACGTGCTGCTCATGTCGCATTGATGGATACAGAGACGCTTACCCACCCTTAACCACAGGCACGAGCCAGTACAACTCCTACAAGGACACCACATCGAAGCTGTTCGGATCATCTTCCCGGACAAAGCCATATGCCGCGATCAGCGAGAATCTCGATGACTACGATCTCGATGACGAGGATTTCGAGGATGGCGATGATGAGGACGAAGACGATGACATCGCCTATCAGTTTGGGGATGGTTTCAAGAGGATTCGCAAGCCTTCCAAGGCAATCGTGTCCAGTTCCAGCGTTCCAAAGATCCGCGTTGATCAGCTCAAACTGCCCATTGGTCACGGTCTCAATTTGCAAGTCAACACCCCACCAGAGCCCTATCTGAGTCCTCCGCTGAATGAGTTCGGGGAGCTGGTGTCCTTCAAGCGAGGACCTTTCACGGGCAAGCGTCGCAAGAGGCCCACAAGTCGCATAGATCAGAACCTAGCCGAGAGTGCAACTCAGTATCGGGAAGTCACGCTTCCGTCCACGCTCTCGACGATCACCGAGCGTCCCAAGAGGCGGTCAACAGTGACAACGACAACCAGAGCCAGTCAGGAGAAGATCACGCCGCGGCTGCCCAACACGGGCCTCGAGAGCGAGAGCGGAAGCAGTCGCGTGAATTACAACTACCACCCGATAATAGAGTTCTTCGAGAATGGGGCCGTGAAGGGGGGTGTGGAAGTGCCACAGGCCGCAGCATCCGGAAAAGAATCGCGAATTGGCGCGAGCGCCAGCGATTGGCAACCAATGATCAATGGCAAAAAGCGGCTATGAATGCCGCAAGATATATTAGTTTCTAAGGTGTAATTTATTTTTGCGTATTTATTCATCAATTGGTGGAAAATGCATGTGCGAAGCCAATAAAGGAATGTGTAGAAGACGATGATGTAAGTGTGCTTCAATGGTGCGATCCTTGCAAAAAGATGTGTGAAATTGAACAGTGATGGGAGATTTTGCATGCATGAGAGACTTTTCTAGAGATTCTAGAGGCTCGTCAGTATTGGCGTGAGGTACAAAAGTTACTGGGTTCAGAGAGACAGTTTGAGAATTTAAAGTCCTGCCCATTCAGAAGCTCCGCCCACACAATCGTAAAATCGCGTGTAAGGAATAGTTTGATTAAATGTATGTTAGATGAGCTCTTGCTGTGGCTGTTTGACAAACCCCTCAGCAAAATTTCATGTGAGAAAATTTTCAATTAGCCCTCAACAATTGATTAGCATTTTTGATGGGGAGACACAGTTGAGGTGGTCGTGAAAAGAAAGTGATCGCATTTCATTTCCACACAGGGAAAGTGACAGTGATGTCGGGTTTTTGCGCCCAGAAAGAGATTTGCTGGCCGATACACCGAAACCCCGTGTTTGAGAGACTCTTTTTGTCATGCTCAGCATCCAAAGAGGTGTCACTTTCCGAGTCTGCACGCTGTAATTTTGTGTACACTCAGTCACAAATCACATAAAACTCAGGCGCCCAAATGATACGCGAGCACCAATGGTGGTTTAGCGCGGGACAAGTGACCTTTAAGTGCGCTAAATTACATACTTTATCACATAATAGCGTATGAAAATATTGGGCGTTGTGCTGCGGCACGAGAGTCGCATGAAAGCGCTTTTCATGCTGGGAATATGCAGAAACTCAGGCACGATGTGTACTGATGAATGCCAATGTCTATCACGGCGGCCTGGATTGGATCACGCTGGCCGAGGAATCTGTCGAGAGCTACGCATGAAGATAGACGCCTAATTGAGAGACTCTCCTAACAGAGAGTTCGGATGAAAGTGTGGCACCTTGAGAATGGAGGTAAAACTTCCCATCAGAATCACCCATTGAGCTCATTTTAATTAATTTGTTTGGAATTGACGAGGTGTTGGGGAAAAAAGCCCATTAATGTTGCAATTTGAAGCAATGAAATTTAATGATCATGCGCCCAGGAGAAAAGAAACAGCTTTTTGCCATGTCGCGGGTAATTGTTCTAAATTGAATTTGGGTGAAAAGCGCGCGAGAGATTTCTTTCTTTTCACCCAATAATGAGTAAATTGACTCCAAATCGACCAGAGTGTTGATCAATTTCTTTTCATCACGATGTGGAAATAAAGTTGCTCCTTATATAGTGAGGTTTTTTTTTCTTTTTTCTTCTCTTGAATATTTAAGAGAGTTGCTGGCGAACAAGATTTCAAGAGCTTTCAATTTAACCATCCACAATTCAATCGTCAGATTCTCCGTATATTTCACTCACATTTCATAAATTTCCCGCAACATTTCCCACCTCTAAATTCTAGTCATTTTCCCTTTCCTCGAATTGTTCCAAGACATCTCTCAGTCTGACTATAAATTGGCCAGCCTCCCAAACCCAATATGCCAAAAGCTTAGTGGTGGGCTTCGGTGAGAAAGTGTACAGAAGGTGACTCGGTGGAAAAGATATAAAAGCACCACGGACAATTCATTTCGTTACAGTTTCTTTGTAAATTGAACAGTGCGACGACGTGGAGGCTGCGATGATTGCTGGCGTGCTATCTCTAGTGTCTTGTGCTCTGGTGACACTGACTTCTGGGATTACAGTGTCACCAATTGTGCGTCAAAAGTATTACACAACCACCACCAAAGTGCCTCAGATGATCGCATATTTCCAACCGTCGCCTCAGATTCGCGCCAAAAATGCTGACAGTGCCTCGAGTGCGGCCGTCTTTGGCCAGGATGTGATCAAGATTGTCCAGCCGCCGGACAATGTGCGCGGCAAGGAGTTCCTCCGCGGAGGCTCCAGAAGTGACCTCAGGAACAGAGTGAAGTTGTCACCGCAGATTGACTATGGCAATCCCGGACTGAAAGCGCTGCCCATTCAGTTTGATCCGCGTCAGTATCACTATCAGCAGCAGAAGGAGTTCTTCGCCAGACCACCACCTCGCCCATCCATTGGCTTTGACGTGAATCCGCTGATGAATCAGCTCAAGGTGCTGCGACAGAAGCACGTTGATGAGTTCGCCGAGGAGGAGGGAGTGCCACAGTTTGATGCCAAGAAAACAGCTTCGCAGGCACAGAGAAAACCGCCTCTTGGCTATGAAGTCTTCGCCAGGGAGAAGGAGAACTTCAAGCAGAACATCTCGCCACCGTCGCGGAAACGGAAGCCGCCCCAGAGAAATCAGACCGCAGAGGAAGCCCCAACGAGATTCGTGCCAACTCGTCTGTACGCCCAAGTGCGCCACTCCAACGCCCAGAAGCACCGTCCGCGGCAGCTGGACGAGCCGCGGGCGCGCGAGAGGCTGCAGACGAAGAAGGTTCATGTGGTCTACTCCGAAGATGGCTACGAAGATGCCAAATACGATCACGGTGATGAGGAAAAGTTTGCGGAACACCGCGACCGTGTGAAGAGAAACTCGGAAGTGGCAAAGACAGAGGAAGACTTGCCAGTGGCACTGGCGCTAATTGGCAGTGCCAATGTGACTGGCGAGGAGGTGCTGGAGTATCTGGAGGAGGTGATCAGGAACAGCTCAAAGTACCTCCCGGACGATCCCGAGGACGACCGCCTCAGCTTCACATCCCACCTCCTCGACAAGTCTGAGATTGAGAAGCTGTTCACACTCCCAGTGCCAGACGCCATCGAGAGTGAGTCTCGCCAGTCGGAGCACAAGGCCAAATATCCATTCTATTATTTGCCATCCACCGAACATTTGCCACAGTCGTCAGCGCTGAGGTATGCTTAGAGTTGAGAGGTGTGTTGAATTTGTTAAATGAAGATATTTTGCGGAAAAATGTTTCTTTTCATTGAACCTTTGTTGATTTGTACAATGAACAGTGACGAGCGTAAATTGAAATTTTACCATTGCAGATACGCGGAAACCCCAAAGACCCTTCCTCGCCACGGTGGCACCTTCTACGAGACGAAGAGGAAGAGGATTTGCGAAGAAATCGATCAGGAAGTGGATCCTGAGAAGGATATGGGCACAAAGAGGCGCCTCAACAATTTGGGTGAGAAGATCGATTGCATCAAAGAGAAATTCTTCGGAGAAGATCCTCTGGACAATCCAATCTTCCGCGAGGAGTTTGTTGGCCAGGAAACCACCACGGCCAGCATAGAGACGGAGAATGTGGATCCCTTGAAGCATCAGAAAGTGAACAACCATCGGAACCCTATGATTAATGTGTACGATGATGTTATAAGCAATATCAGGGCGGCCGTTGTGGCAGACACTGTGAGTCGGCACGCGAGGAATCGCCAGGCATTCCTCAACTTGCCGCCAGTGGATCCCCAACCCCAGCCGAAGCTGAAGCTGGTGAGGATGAGAGATCTGCTGAGGGGCGACGAGAAGAAGGCGAGTCAAAACAGCGTGAATCACAATGACATCGTGTTTGATATTTCCAAGTACTTCCCACCACTCTATTTGATGCAGCCGGAGAGTGGCAAAGTCTACAGAATCCAGCCACAGCAGACGGTGATGAAACAGCCGAGGAAAGTGAACAAACCCAAAAACAAGAGAGTGTCACACAAGACAAAAGATTACACGGTTTTCCCAACGATAGACACGGTTACATCTCGACCCGTGAGGTCTCAGCTTATTGTACATCCAATTATGTCTTCTGGCAATCATCCATACTTGGCCCTGAAGAGAAATAAGCACCGAAAATTCCACTACGAGGGATTCATCCTCCACTGAGCTGCTGCTAATTGTTCGGTTTTTGCAAAACTTCTTACAATAAACACTATTTATTTTGTGGACTTTTCCTTGGCTATTTTTAATTCTGGGGTGACCTCAAATCGAAGTAAAAATTGAAAGCAGTGCAATATATAGAGAAGAAAGATTTTATTACAAAGAATAAAAAGATAGAACTAAAAAGGTAAACATTTTATACAAAAATAAAAGAGTTGTTGAGCGATGTTCTTCAGCGACAGACATCACACACAAATGAAAGGGAAAGTGAAGGAAAAAGAGAAGAGACAAATGATTGAATGCGTTTTTTTTTGTTTTTACATGATCGGTCCAATGTCAATTTTCTTATCATTTACCAAATGATGGCCACTGAGATCCTTTGATTAGTGATGAAATCTACGTACGAGAAAAGAAATTAGTCAGTTTCCGTTTCACATGTGCAAGAGAGACAAAACTGTCGCAGATATTTTTCCGCCTCAAGCCGAAGAGTCTGAGTTCAAGTAAATCATGTCACTAAAGTCTTCACGATTGTAAATAGTATAAAGGCTGGGTGTGTTGTGTTGTGTGTGAGAGAGAATAGATGAGTTTTCGCAATATGGTCGGTGAAAAAATCTGGAACAGTTCTTGGTCATTTAGTACCAGTAGCCCCCGTAAAGTCCTCCCCAGTTCCTGTAGTAGGGGTAGCCGTAGTATCCTGAGTATCCTAGTCCGCCATATCCGAGTCCATAGCCGCCATATCCGCCATAGCCGAAGCCGCCATAGCCGAGTCCGCCGCCATAGCCGAAACCGGGATAGCCGCCGTAGAAGCCATAGCCGTAGGAGGCGGATCCTTTCAGGTCTCCAGGAGCCTCGGCTCCGCTCTGTTGCAACACCTCAGCCTGGTTCTGTGGCACAGCACGGGCCGCCAGAGGAGCAGAAGCCGCACTTACAGCCGCAACGACCGCCGCGAGGAAGAGAACGATCTGCGTTAAGAAAATATCTGGGCTTAGCAAGGAGTTCACACAATTCCCCAGGACGAGTCACGATTAATTTTGTCCACTTTCCAGCACCGATATTCCGAAAAAAACAGTCTTAAATCATCGACTCACGATTTTCAATGAAGCCATTGTAGGATTTGGTTGGGACACTTTGGTGTGATTTGAGAGGTTAAAATATGCACAATTCTCACTAGACTGTCTCTCGAGGAGAAGAGCAAGTAGCTGAGACTGATACAAAACTGACCAAGATGCCGGATTGGCTCCCTGTTTATATACGGGTGGGCCGCATGTCTCGCGAGTTGAATTTTCCCATTGTGACGCGGGAAAACCACGTGAATGCCAAGCCACCACTCACTCCCTCAAGAGACTCCTCCATGCATTGCTGAGCACACAGTGCATTATTATTAGTTGGTCGATCGCTAATTAATAACAATGGGCATGTGTGATCTTTCAACAATTCTGGAAAAGTTGCGTAACCCTCTATGTGTGCCAAAAGCCCTCCCGCTCGGCAAGTTCATGCCCAGTGCGCCCCTGGTGGGCAGCGCGGGCTGTTTCTGTGCCACGGCAAGGCTCTCCGGCTCTTTTGTTCTTGGGCAACACGGATGGGAACCCCGCGAGGCTCTATTGACGGTCAATAGAGATGATAATAACTTCTTGGACGATGTTGCGTGTCTTCGAGAAGCATGTCGCATGATTTCCCATTCTCCGCCGATGCGCGAGGTTTGTCAATCTCGCGGGGGATCCCTTCGATTTTGGGGGAGGGGCAGCATTGGCAATAGATTATTGCCCAAGGAGAGACGAGCGTTCCGGCAGCTTTGGCAAGGAGGGCGCGCGGCCGCAGAGAATCACCTGAGATGGTTTTTCGCGGCACAGGGAAAAAAGATCACTCCCATTCACCACCGAGGACGAAGGTGAAGTCAATTAAATTGTCAGTGATAATAAGGAAATAATAAACTGATTGTTGTCAATCGGATTTGGTCTGTTGCCGGAGTGTCTCTCTGGCAAATTAGAATTCAATTAGCTATGAAATCGATTGCAAGCGGTGATTACCCTATCAATGTTCTCACACTTTTGCCCACAAGCACAGCCTTGAAGTTGTATTATCATTTGTTTGTCAGGTGGAAAATGCCCATCAAGAATTCACTGCTATTGCTGGCGTGCACAGAGAGAATTCACGAAGACAGAAAGCTTGCAGTGTTCTCAGTAGAATCTCGCCTACTCGAAGTGTGCACAGCTTGCTGGAAGAATTTTCCGATTTCCTAATGTTCAAGCATAAATGACGCATTCTTGCTGAAAATTTATTCAATACACTGCCGCCTAATGTCTCCCTAATCACCCAAAGACAAGCCCAAAGACTGGAAAAATACAGCAAGGACGCCGGCAAAGTACGTCTTATATTTGGCTGATCATCACGCAAAGAAGGCGACTCAACCTCTTTCTCATATGTCAGCATTCAAAAGGTGCAAGTCACAATATCGGAATGCATCTGAGAAGAATTGCGGTAATTATTAATTTTTCATATAATTCCCTTTTTTGTCTCTCCGGCAATTTTCCGCCCAGGGTTGTTTTTACTACTCTTCGCGCGCGCGCGCGTATAGAAAAACAATACTAGAATTGATTTTTTCGCTAAGAGTCACTGGCACGACGACTTAGCACTGATCATGCATGCAATTTAGAAAAAGATTGTGAGAGAATTCGTGTATTGTCTGCTGCAAAGAATATAGCACTATGCTTGCGATTGTGCAATTGCGCTGGTACGAAACAACCCGCAGAGAGGAAGTCATGGTCGTTGGAAAAGCTACACCTACTATTACATATTGTTGGTATTGGGAGTGAAACAATTTTCAATATAAGCTCACATGAACCTCAAACACACGATTCTTGTGCTCCCAACGAAGGTCAGGTGTGGCCAATTATGTATCTCATGTATTTTCCACAAGCATCGCACATAAGTAGTCATGCTCTTTGCAAATAAATTGCTCACAAATCCTCACCTTACCAGAGGCACAAACAAATTCATGCATTATGCTGGCTGTTTGTGGGTAAATTGAGAAGAATCAATTGGGCAAAATTGACTCGCCTCTGCGTGATGTTTAGCAATTTCTGCCGAGATGAATCTCTGCAATTCCACAGAGAATTATCTATCACGTTCGCAGAGAGATTTACAGACCATGCAATATTTTACAACTACACCTGAAATCTAATGCCATTTCATAAGTTCCACCCGGTGAAATATTACGAGTGAATGTTAGGTCAGTTCTTGCGCACGGCGAGTATCAATTTCTACCCTAAAACTCCGTGTCGTCAGCGAAAAGGGAAAGTTGTGGGGCAGACAATCTGTGCGCTTGTGTCACTATTGCAATTGCAAAGAAACCTTCTTTATATATTATAATTGCTGAAGTTCTCACAGAACTTCGTGCAACTGTTTCAAATTGGCAATTATTCAACTTGACAAGAGAATGTTCTGAAGGTTTCAACACCTGAACATGAAATAAAAGCAACAAGCGGAAATGAGATTTGCACACTATTCTTATTCCCAAAATACAATTTCTTGGCTTCTGACACCTCAATAGTCAAGAGGCAAGACACAAGACGATTTTTGAGGAATCTTAATGGTCTCAGTTAAAAATAATCAAAAATAATTTTTTTTCCACGTTAAATTGCAAAAAAACAAAAATTTAACACAATATATTCTAATATAATATATTCTGATTTATTTACACCAAATATCGCCGCCAGAGGGCAGCAAAGTTGGCGTGGGGAACGCTAATAATATCGCATAATTTTCTCTGTTTTTTCACGCATTTTTACACTTTATGACATCCTGGCGTGATCCTGGGCAGGAGAGAAGTAAATTTGAGCACGAGAGTGAAGCTTTCAATCAAAATCACAGAACTAATGGTCTTAAATTGTGAGTCTCTTTCCCCTTGTCGTTTAACGTACAATTGTTATTTCTACTTCACCAAATATTAATATTCTTACCGTATTTTTAGCAGGTTAAATTGACCATAATAAATTACATCGAAATAAATAGTTAAAGATAATTAATTTCTGTTATTAAATACTCAATTAGGAATGTTTAGAATATTCTCAGGAAATTACATGACTGAAAGCGTTCATAAGTGATTAATGGCTGTGAGAAAACTAGTCAAGCGTCTTCGAAGAGTTAACGTTAATTTTCAAACCTCTTTTTTAACTTTCCTCTTGGATAAAGCTACCAGTAAAAGCTTGGCGGAGCTTTATTGTCTACATCAGGGAGTTTTCGCTTAAGACGGTAAGTCAGGAAAGCTGTGAAATCTCGCACAGTGACTTTGAAAGAGATTATAACACCAAATGGTACGGTTTATCACTGTTATTTTGAAAACAAACATTATATTATGTGGCCATGAACTAATAAAGTGATGAGCTTTTAACCAGAAAAAGGCGTTATGAACCATCATTAGACGATTGGCAATTAAATCAATCGCACAAAGGCAATGACAAATGAGTGAATCTCCGAAGTAGATCATAAATAACTATTACTAATTTGTGCGTTTACGAGTTCTGCTCAGTGACTGTTGTAGCTCTTAATCCCTGACCTATGCCACTTTAGCTCTCTTTTGGCGCTGTGTCACTCTCGCATCGAGCAAAGGTAAGAAATCCGTGTTAAATCCATGTGACTGAGTGAGAAAAATCATGCATGTAAAACATTGCATGCATAGCCCTGAATTTACAATCAAATTCGTATAAATATTAATAAATAAAATAGGTAAGTTATGCAATTGAAGAGTTGATTCTTACATCGACGCATTAACCAGGCATTTTTCCATATCGCTCTTTTCGCCAAATGAATTATTTATTCTTAAAATTTTGGGGTCAAGTATCCGCGGCTGTCGCATCTTCTGCTCTGTCGTAAAAAATCGATAGAAAAATATATATATTTCTGACTAAATACGGACAACAATAAATTAATTTACCCACAGCGACACAGAATATGTTGTCCTCAATGCAACTATCGTTGAGCTTTAGAACAAAAGACTTGGGATGACGATGAGCAAGAAACCTGAATTGCTGCCCAGAGAAATTAATCTCTGACTAGCGACAATTCGTGAAAAATCATCTCATTGGAAGTGAGTTTTCCACTGGGTGACACACGATTAAGCAATTGGAGTTCACAATGGGTCACAGCCAGTGTTTATGCTCTCTGAAAGACATTACAGACTTGCTGATTGTTGGCTCGTGGATGTACTGAGGGAAAATCACTGCAGTTTCTCACTCACTCATTGCAAAGTGCATCGCTTAGATGTTTTTCTCTCAGTGCATCACCTCGAGTTCATCAAGTTACTATATCGTGTTTTATGCAAATTACTCGATGCAGTGGGTAAATGGGTGAAATTCCATCTGTTCTGTGATTTCAGGGAAGGAATTTCACGAAAATCCAGTGAGAAATTGCTGGTGCTTCTCTGCAATCCGCGCCTTCATGGGAAAACTATCGCTTTCGTTGGACACGCGAGATGTGAAGCAAGAAGTGGAAGCTTGGCGACAACAAGACCATCACAGTAAATAATGGGATCATGAGGTGTTTATGGACGTCTGAAAGAAAGTGTTTTCACCGAAGTCTCTGTGGCCAGTGAGAAAATGCAAATCTGTAGCGGAGTGAATAGCTAATGATTCGGCAGACTATTCATGAGCACACATACCCTTTTTTTCTGTCCAATCTCCACATGAATGGCACAGTTGCGGACTTTGTCTGTGTCCGATGATGCGGGTATCAATGAACTTTTTTATTTCACCTCCTGACACACTCACTGGGTGGGAGGCAAAGCCTCCCCGGCGTGCATTGTTTACCCAAATGCATACAATGCCATTAGTGTTGCATTCGGCATCTGCACGCCAGCCTCTGGCCACTGAAGTCAGTCTCTCAGGTGAGGTGGTGACACTGAAACGTATAAATAACGGCTGCACACCGGACTTCTCGCCATTAACACTGGTGGCTTTTCGTGATCAAGATACACCTAATCTCTCCATGATGGTAAGTTTATCAGTTCTTGTGGCAGTGAAAGCGACCGTTGGCTGTGGTTCAGTGGACGTACTCCCCGATGGCGTTGCGAGATTCCCATTTATCCGCGTGTGTCATAAATCATACCAATTTTCTCACCTCTATTATTTGAGCATAGCGTCGTGTGCGTGATGTGAATTGAGCACGTGGAAATTGTTGAAAAATATCACTAATTAAGACCTTCCAAAGAACTAGTAATTA